TAAGTCACGAGTGTAAAGCCATTCTTGGTTTAGACACAGTACTGTGCGGACGTGATCTCCGATCTGCAATATCATGGATGTGTGTGGTCATTACAAAGCCTGTGTTTATCCTTACGTTGAATTTCATCAAGGCATTCCTTCTCACCTCGAAAAGGATGCGTTTCTGGACCCCAGTGTTGTGAACGTGGTTATCCTCGACGACTTAATGTCTACTGCCAGCAAAGATCCACGCATTACAGATCTTTTTACCAAAGGAAGTCATCATCGTAATCTCTCAGTGATAGCCTTGAACCAGAATTTGTATTACAGTAAGGATCCAACACAACACAAGTAAGGATCCCAGAAACTGTCATTATCTGCTTCTGTTCAACAACCCTATTGATCAACAACCCATCATGACTTTGGCGAGGCAAATGTATCCAAGTAACACAGACCATTTCATGGAACCGTTTCACCGGGCTACCCAGAAACCTTATGGATACTTGTTGGTTGATCTAAATCCCCAAACACCTTCCCATTTGCGACTTTGTCCCAATGCGTTCAGTTTAAGAGGAGGCCTCCAAGCTAGGACAATTCAGTCCTAGTTAGACGTTCAGAGTGAGCAGAGGTGTGAAAAAAACCTCCCAACAATGCCATCTTGTGATGACTGTGGACTCGTGTTTCAAGACGTGCATGATTTGCAAAAACACAGAAGAAACTGGTGACCTGAAAAGTCTTCAGTGGGTCCACCTGGAATACCCCAAGTTAAAAGGAAGTGGGAAATGGGAGGAAGACGACAACTTCTCTGCTGTGAAGAGACCACGTCCTCTGTCAGATTGTGACTACTGTGGTCAAGTGTTTTAGCAATAACCACAACTTACAAAGACATTTACACGATAAACAATGTCCTGAAATGGAAAATGATGAGGATGATGATGCTGTATCGTTAACCGATGTCACACAAAACAACAGGAAAAATAAGATGGCTGATCTCGAAGAGCAAGGTATAAGACAAATGTATTCACGTACACGTGAGCTGAATAAAGACTTTTTGAGAAACGACAGCTGTACATGAAACGAGGTTTACACGAAGACATGATTCAAGCCAAACTGAAAAATTAATCTGGATCACGTTTAAAGAGACGTATGCCCGATTTATTACTTATCTGTATCATATGCAGTGGGGTCCAAAGCCACAAGGAAATAGTGCATAGACAGCGCCCCATTCACGCATATCATATACGGGCCCTCATGGCGCATGAATCTAATTTGCTAACAGCTACAATCATTTATTGTTCACAGATATGTAAAATAAATACTCAGAACTTCGGAGTTGTTACTTGTGCACCAAATGACAGCATACACCTTTGATTTAACAAAATGCGCTCCGATATTTTCACAGCTTTTGACCGAATAAATAGCATCTAAATTCCCCTCATATGCATAGTGTGATATTAATTCTAGCTGAAAAGAGATTTTGCTGTGTGAACACTCGAGTCGGCAAACTCATACCACTCATAAGGTAATTGAATAATAATCACAGACCACTAAGGTGAACCTGAAGGTCACACACACCTGGACCGGAAAGGAACTCCCAAAGGAGGGTGGGGATTAAGGGTTCAACAGTCGATTAGGTCACACAAAGGTCACATCTGTGACATAAAATCAAAATGGTGGATATTCTTCTAAACCCCCTTGTATACAACATTAATAGATCTAAAGGAATTAGTTATGAACTAATTATAGAAATCCCGTCTCTCGAACATTTTTTTATTTCTCGAAAAATCACTATATCTCCCGCTTTTTAAAATAAGAACAAGTAACTATAATTTTCCAGTAGAAACAGGCAGATGGCGTGAGGAGAGAACATGTCCTTGACGTGCGATTCTCCACTCATTGCAGACGAAGTACACCATGTATTTAGATGTAGAGAATTTGAAACAGAACGTCGTCTTCATATCAATGAATTATATTTTTAATCTGCACAGGAAAATTGTCAGATTTATTTAAGAATCTGTCGAATTATTCACATATTGTTTTTGAAAAGTTCAAATGACCTATGCTACTGATATTACCATTCTTGACTGTTTATGTAATATATGTATATTTTATTCTCTTGCACCAAAGTGGACGCTTTTTTGAGAAAAATACACTTTTCTTGTCATCTTCTTAGTTGCTTTTACACCACACTTTCAGGCTCACCGTCCCCATTGTGTATGACTGTATGGCAGTGGTGGACAGATAAAGAAAATGATATAGAGCCTTAATGTGGAATGTTTAATTGACGTACTGCTATGGTTTTGAGAACATAATGATGAAGGTAATAGTATATCATGATTTACATGGTCAGTGTTGTTGCTTCAATAGAATATGCACTTCAATGCAGTTTGTAATTACCGCTACTGTATGTCAGTGATTGATTCAGATGCAACTCCAATATAAACATGTGTCAACGTGAACCATTGCGAAATGAAGCAAAAACATTTAGGTGAAAGACTTGAGCTTAAAATCTCATGTGACCTCCAAACACTAATATCCTTACCTAGAATGTCATTATACAGTCCAACAAAGACTTTGGCATTTCTGATAGGTTGATAACATATGTATATAAACATAAAAGTATATTTGGCACGTTTACAGCACATTTTGTTGCTACAGAATACAAAGGCAGATAATTCAAAGCTAGCTAACTCTGGATGACCCAATATATTGCAGAATCTGAATCATATCGCGATAATTGTATATCGAGGGATACTGTGCCTGTATATACCGGTAATAGTGCACAGCCCTACTCATGTGTCACTTCTGTTAACCCCCGAGCACAGAGATGGTGCAACAAGACTAAGAACGGGAAAATCGGGAGTGCAACAAACAACAGATGTCTGGGAGACCAAGAGATGGAACTCTGCAAGCGTTTTAATTTTTCTCTTTTGAAAACTGTGAAAAACGTGAGACCATATACAGTTTGTTTTCTCTGTTGCTACAATGTATCTCAAAGGGTGTGAATTCCTAGATCTCTAGCAACGCATGTGTCATAACCTACAGCCGGGGATGAAACTGTTTGAGTTTATAGTCCGTTCGGCTCAAAAGCGGACCGATGAATTGCAATCTAACTCGAAAACTAATAAACATAACATACTCAATGAAACGCTGATCATAATCAAAACATCATACCCACTCTGTGAGGTTTTGCAGAATTTTTGTCCTAAAAATAAAAATGTTGTTTAACAATCTATCATTAAAATATTGACACAGTTCACTGTTTGTTACGAGGGAGGAGTGCAGAGAAAGGGACAGCCAGGTGTGCGAGAACGGATCGGCACAGCACAGGTTAAAGAATAAATAACTTTGTCTGTGAACGCGCTTCTCGAAAACCTGGCTGTTCCCTTTCTCTGCACTCCTCCCTCGTAACAAACAGTGAACTGTGTCAATATTTTAATGATAGATTGTTATACAACTTTTTTATTTTTAGGACAAAAATTCTGCAAGAACCTCACAGAGTAGGTATGATGTTTTGATTATGATCAGCGTTTCATTGAGTACTATATGTTTATTAGTTTTCGAGTTAGATTGCAATTCATGGGTCCGCTTTTGAGCCAAACGGACTGTAGTTTTTACACAGCTTTTAGCAATATTCCAACAATATCATGGTGGGGAACACCAGATATGGGCTTCACGAATGCGTAGATTAACCACCAATCATTTAACTCCTGCACTGAAGGGTAACCTCACTTCGAATGAAAATCATGGTATGCCCAAATGGGTAACAAACCCTGGTCTTCATGGTGAATAGTGAATGCTTTACCCACAAGGCTAACCCACTGCCTCAAACCAGCATGAAGTCTTATTCGAATCACAAGTGAGTGAGCAAGTATGGTTTTACGCCGCTTTTAGCAATATTCCAGCAATATCACAGCTGGGAGGACACCAGAAATGGGCTTCACACATTGTACCCATGTGGGGAATCGAACCCGGACGAGCGAATGCTTTAACCACTCAGCTAAGCCACCGGCCCTCGAAGCAAAAGTAAAATTTAGAGAAGATTGTTAACTAATTGTGGAAAACTCACATTTTACATCCAAATCCCCTTTATTTGTGGAAATGTACACCTTTTCTTCGACAGAAAATAAAAGCTTAAAATTCATGCACATTTGCGAGTCAAAGTTGCATTTTCTCCAGCGTAAGAGGTAATACAAGAATTAAGGTTGGCTGGTAATGAGAAACAATATTTTTATATATGGCCTAACAATAAATGTGGATGATCAAGGACATTTTTATGTGCAGGGTTAAACATTTTTTTTAAAATCACTGCATGCCCTAAATTGAAATTATTTCGAATAGGCCTAAATTGAGTTAATTGTATTTCACAAAGGAAATGAAAATTTAGATAAGACGGATGATGTTGAAACATGCACAGCCTCATTCCTGAGACTGAACTTGAGTCATGTATTTGGGTGCTTGCGTGCGTGCGTGCGGCGTGCGCGTACGTTCTTAGTGAGCACTTGAGTGTAATTGTTTTATGTAATGTGCCAAGTCAAAATCATTCCTGTTACCAAGAGATGACATGCTTTGGAACTGGCCATAAATTGTTTTGCCACCATTAGCATCTGGATCTTTTAATCATATCTTTTTCCAAACTTGTCTTCCTGTGGCACCAACATCATGAACTTTGGCCGCCAGGCAGATGACCCACGTACGCAGCCGTTTCAGTCCAGTACACTAAAAGCAACTGGGCTTCACCCACTGCGTGCTGTCAAAATGGTCACAACACCCGCAGGTTATCGTACAACAATGTTTCTAATTCCAATAACAATAAAGGTTGAAATGTCAAAATGACTGAGCTCAATAAATCTTCACTAATTACCGATGGCAAGCATGCAAACTGATGGTTGGCCCCTAAGCATCCATATCTCACAAAATCAAGTCTATGACAAAAGTTGGTTACGAGACATGGCCATTTAAACACAAATTTCTCCCAAAGGAGAAGTCATGTTGGTGACATAATTACTACACAACAAAACTGAAGTTTCAGAAAAACTTTATTGAACAATTCTTCATCACATACAGCACTTGTGGTACAGCGTCTTCCTTCACCAACGTTCACAAGCTTCCTGAAACAAACCAAGTACTTCAACACATGTTTTGTGGCTAATCAGATTAAAAACATAATGCTTGTATGCCAAGTGTCATCAGATAAGATAAATAATCACAGAATTCATCTGTCCCTATCAAATATCATCACTGACACAGCAACGGCAACATTCGTTTTAACTGCTTGCTGAATAATGTTGGGTTGACTCCAACCGTAATTTTATATTCTATTTAGAAAATATGGAAAAAACAGGTCACATAAAAGTGTTTAACAGTATACAGTCAAATCCCGAGGAGTCGAATGCCTGTGTCTCGAATATTATGCATAACTCGAAGTACCTGTCGGTCCCGACCATTCGCTCTTATAGTTGTCATCATTTGATTTCCGGTTACACGAATTCGTCATATAAATACACACGATGACTCGAGAAGGAAATTTGGTCCCATGACATTCAAACAGCAATATTGTATACATAATACGCGAAGTCAGTCAATGAGAAGTTGATTGGTGTAGCAAACTGATCCAATTAACAAAAAAGCGCGGCTCACACCTTACCGCCATTGACAGGTGAGTTCAAAAGTCAGATTAGTGATTTTACGGAAATCACTGTCTGTGCTAATCAGACTGGAACTGATGAGGTGCCCCTATTAGTGATATGGAAATCATTAGGTAAAGAAATGCTTAGGTGGAGGAATTAGGACTGGATCATCTTTTTTTTCTATCCTCATAGACATACCTATGTCTCGAATACATCGATAAGTCGAATTTATTACTTGGTCCCAAGCGATTCGATTCATTGGGATTTGACTGTATATTTAATTTTACACGATACCAGAAAGTGAAAATAATCGAGGAGAAGCGTGGAAAACTGAAGACATTACATACCTTTCATCACAGGCACCTCATCTCGTGGAACCTTGTGCTACTCAAGTCCGATTCACGTCACTGGAAATATAACATTAGCATTACAATGTTGGCATCTCTAAGTGGGACCACAAACTTTGCTGCTGCTGCTGCTGCTCTGTCAGATAGGAGCGAAAGATTGATGATCGTCAACACAGATGATTGCAGTTGAACTATGATCGCATCATTCAGAGCAGACCAAAAACCAAACAAAGTTATTGAACAGTGAAGCAATGTACGAAACATCCTCAGCTCTATGACTATCTTAAGTCAGTGTTAAGGCCAGACACGGCTACTTCGAGCTAGTGAGTGAGCGAGTTTAGTTTTACGCCGCACTCAGCAATATTCCAGCTATATGGCGGAGGTCTAAATAACTGAGTCTGGACCAGACAATCCAGTGATCAACAGAATGAGCATCAATCTGCGAAATTGGGAACCGATGACGTGTCAACCAAGTCTGCGAAATTGGGAACCGATGACGTGTCAACCAAGTCAGCGAGCCTGACCACCGAATCCCGTTAGTAGTCTTTTACGACAAGCATGGGTTACTGAAGATCAATATTCTAACCCGGACCTTCACAGGTGCACCTTAGAGCTAAGATCGCTTTGTACAATGGTGCCCTGTTGGGCTATCGGAAAGGGAGATGTACATGGTCAAGTCAATGTGTTGTGCCACATCAGCAATATCACGTGATCAATCTGCAACACGCCGCATAGTACGACACATGCAGCCAGATCACCAGGGTGACAAATCCACATGGTATAATCATGGCTTTATGGGGAGCAGATATGTTCTTCACATTATCTCAGAATCTGGGATTAACATTTCTGGATCAGTTTCCAACAAAACACTTTACTTCATAATGTAGAGTTATCGTAGACCTGGGAATGACAGAAAACTACAGGGATTTATTCTTACTGTAAATTAAAAGTTGGGCCTACCACACATTCTACAAAAACACACAGAAAGAAAACTACAAAAAGCAACAGATAATATTAAATATACTCCCCATGAAAAGTTTTGTAAAATAATCCATACAGTTTAAAGTTACTGTTTATGCATGAGCTGATGTATTGTAAAACAAATTCGTGATGTTGAAAAGTTTGTCATGTGTTCAATAAATGAAACTCGGTGAAAAACTATTTGTTTTATTAAGCAAAACTTTACACCAAAACACAGCTGTTCACATCCACGATATCTGCAAAAGCTTTTAAGCAATTTGATGCATGATCCTCGTGCAATTAATCTGCAGATAATTCCCCAAGACAGTGGAGAAATTCATCTTCTTTGTAACCATATGCACATACATAACTTATAGTGATTGATTTAAGCGAGTCTAAACTTTTGATGGGTAGTATATATGACTTCTACCAACATGTCACAACTTTTATATATACATTTTTGGGGAAAATTTCTGCTCTTTCAACAGCTTATTTGTATAACCGCTTTGACTAAACAAAATCATTAACCTGAGTAATAAAACAAACTCAACATTTAAAAGGACTTCACAATAACTTCTAAAATGGAAGTTTAGACCTAAAAACTTCCAGTTCATTGAATACAAGCATTGCCTATTAGTTACTGTGAACAGTTGTATACCAATGCCGTCAGCTCTGGATAACGATAATCATTACTATCATTTTGCCCTATCAAGGAGTCATCATAAGCAATGGCACAACTTCCATGTTCACCTGATACAAGTGTATTCTAGTGGTGATCCGATTAATTGAAATAATTGAAGATTGGTCGCATCAATTATGATATTTTAACCAATTCCCAACACTAGTGTATTCCCAACTGAAATGTTAGAGGAAAACTAATGAATAAACATTTGTAGCATTATGCACTGGCCTAACGTTATGTCAACGTATGATCACTCACGTTGATGTTTGATGGAAGGCAGTCAGCATTTTCTGCCATCAACTGGAAAAATGAAAACTTCAATTCAAGCACAACAATATTATCAAGTTTTAATCCCATTTCAGTCATAGCATTGTCTTGTACATTTCCAAATTTGGTGAACCCATGGATATGATGCTAATAATGAGTGACTTTTAGTTTTCTGGACAGACAATCCATTGCAGCATGATCATCGATCGGCAATATTGTCAAAAGCCGATACATACTGCAATATTTCTGAGAACAGGTATATTGAACTAATAAAAGAATGCATATATGGAGTTTTTGTGATTATCTTTGTGGTTTAAATTATCAATACAAATGATTCTTTCATTATTCATACTATAAATTGTATAAACAAAATTGCTTTTAAGCAATTTGATGCATGATCCTCGTGCAATTAATCTGCAGATGTTTCCCCAAGATACTGGAGAAATTCATCTTCTTTGTAACCATATGTACATACATAACTTATAGCGTGATTGATTTAAGCGAGTCTAAACTTTTGATGGGTAGTATATATGACTTCTACCAACATGTCAACTTTTATATACATTTTGGCAGAAAATTTCTGCTCTTTCAACAGCTTATTTGTATAACCGCTTTTACTAAACAGAAACCCGAGTAATAAAAAAAAAAAAAACCAAAATTTGAGAGGACTTCAAAATAACTTCTAAAATAGAAGTTTAGACCTAAAACTTCCAGTTCATTGAATACAAGCATCGTCTTTTAGTTACTGTGAACAGTTGTATACCAATGCCGTCAGCTCTGGATAACGATAATCATTACTATCATTTTGCCCTATCAAGGAGTCATCATAAGCAATGGCACAACTTCCATGTTCACCTGATACAAGTGTATTCTAGTGGTGATCCAATTAATTGAAATAATCGAAGATTGGTCGCAGTGACTAAACGACCAAGCAATCGATCACGTTTTCTCATAATCGAACACAAACAATTCTGGAACACTTGTTATTATCAACAATATTTTTCACAAGGTTGGTTTTGTCTGTTACATTTCATAAGCATTAGAAGCTCGTTCCAAGTCATGATTGAATTTATCTTAAAGACACCAAGAAATTTATGTTCCTAACATACTAGTCATCCTTTAGATATGTGAAATTTTGCCCCAAACTCCCAAAATAACTATGTTTTTTCCCCCATATTTTTTGTGCATTAACAACTTTCATAAATGACGCTAACCAATTATTTTCGATGATTGATCGGCGGTAATGAACCAATCATCAATTATGATATTTTAACCAATTCCCAACACTAGTGTATTCCCAACTGAAATGTTAGAGGAAAACTAATGAATAAACATTTGTAGCATATATGCACTAGTCTAACGTTATGTCAACATATGATCACTCACGTTGATGTTTGATGGAAGGCAGTCAGCATTTTCTGCCATCAACTGGAAAAATGAAAACTTCAATTCAAGCACAACAATATTATCAAATTTTAATCCCATTTCAGTCATAGCATTGTCTTGTACATTTCCAAATTTGGTGAACCCATGGATATGATGCTAATAACGAGTGAGTTTAGTTTTTACGCAGCACTCAGCAATATTCCAGCTATATGGTAGCGGTTTGTAAATAATTTAGTCTGGACCAGACAATCCATTGATCAACAGCATGATCATCGATCTGCGCAATTGGGAACCGATGACGTGTCAACCAAGTCAGCGAGCCTGACCACCGATCCCGTTAGTCGCCTCTTACGACCAGCAAAGTCGCCTTTTGTGGCAAGCATGGGTTGCTGAAGACCTATTCTGCCCCGGATCTTCATGGGTCTGCTAATAACAAATCATTAAGGATGAAGTCATTTATCCTTTCCAAGGGACGTAACTCAATACTGGAACATGCACTGGCGAGTCAATGCTCTTAAACACTGGAACAATTAAAAGTAATGGGACTGCACGGTATTACCGGTATATTGCAATACGCCTTTCAAACGATACATACTGCAATATTTCTGAGAACGGTATATTGGATAAATAACATATATGGAGTTTTTGTGATTATCTTTGTGGTTTAAATTATCAATACATATGATTCATTATTCGTACTATAAATTGTATAAAAAAGAAAAGAAAATCCTTCACTATGCAACTTAATTTTGAGATAGCTGTTACAGGTTGTCAGAACCATTACATAAATGATCAAGGACTTTAACCCTTTCAACACCGCAGGCCGCTTAAGCGGCCATAACGTTATGAGTCCCCAGACACGGAGGCAGCTTTAAGCCGCCAGGCAGTAATCACGTCAAAATGAGACATAATTTTAGGAACTTACCTGACTTATGATTCATATATTAAATCCATCACATTTCACAATGTCTGGAAACACTTATTAAATTTCAATTGATCATATATTATCGGCAGAATTAAAATTATAAACTATTTTTACGCAATGTAATTGAAAACAACGATTCTCGGACACATGCTTCGGGGCGGGTCCACAATAACATTGTCAAAAAGCAAAGTAGCGATGGTTCGAGGAAATGATTAAATAAATAGAATAAACTAATGAATAAAATCAACAACAGCATTCATAAAAGTTGTCAAGCGTACATATAAAATTACTTTTTCCATCTTTTTGTGCGATCATGTAATGCAAGTCAAATCACTGACCAGTGACATCTCGGCTCTCGCCTCAATTTTCAGCTTTCGGACCACGATGTTTAATCTGGCGAAAATATATGCATGAAGCATTTTTGTCACAGGTCATAACCTAGCGCGATCACGTCCAATAAGTCCTATAATTTACGTATATGTAGCGATTTCTTGCTTAATATGTTCAGAATAGCATTATTTTACCCAAAACTTTTCGTCTAAATCGAAAGATTTCGTTCACGAGGGCCGGTATCCATTGCGGTAATATGATTGGCTGCCTTAGGTCACGTGTCTGATTTTGACCAATCCGACCCTTATAGCAGACTGTAGCGAAAAGCGTCATTAGAAACCAATTTTTATCAATAAAATCGCTTCTTACAACTGTGAAAATACTACCGGCAAAAGGGTTCAGTGATGTTGTTGATGTTCAGAGCTTCGAGCGATACCCGGCATCAAGCGATTAAGCCTCCCATGTTATTCATAACGAAGCGAAAGCGGAGGTATTTTCCGTTGTTATGTCATGTTACCGGCGGAAAGCCACAGATATCGGAAATGGCGACCATACATATTATTTAAGAATCTTTTTATAATAATTTTCTGATTACGTAAAAGTGAAAATATTAAAGAAAAGGCCGCGGGCATGTTATGACATGTCACAAATGGAAAAAAATCGCCTTAGTTTTGCTTCTTTCGTGTGGTTTATCTGGGCGTTATAAATGTAAGCTTGCATTTTCATTCAAAATAATTTTATTTAAGTTGTAGTTGTATTATTTGAATAATATTATAAAAATAAACTTCATATTTATCAACAGTAGGATTAGATCTTTTAAATGGTGTATGGGATGTAATAGCAATAACGTTTTGCAAGCTTATAATTTCCTTCATAAACATAGGCTTCATCTATGACCTCAGAGTCTCTGGGAACTCGGTGTCATGGCAGTGAATGCCTCTGGTTGACTGGTGTTGAAAGAGTTAATGTAGAAAATAGGATTGACATGCACAATTAGTGTCAAACGTTTAAGTTCCAACTATATTGCAACATAGGTACCTGAATCACAATATATTGCAATACAATTTATTTTCCAATACACAGTCCTAATAAGTAACTCACTAAAAGCAGCAACAGGGAAATAGTACATGACAAGGTTAATCAGACCTGTGTAGGGGACAGTCTACAGCAAGTTCAGTCCGCCCGTCACATATCACATCACATTAACCCTTAGTCAACGTTGCTTTTAATAAACTCACAAACATATGACTGATTGAGTTTGTTTTTCGCTGCTTTTAGTAATATTCCAGCAACATCACAGCGGCACAAACATATAAGGTGGTAAATGGCTTTGCCAAGGAAATGTAACCCTTCACCTGTTCAACATTGGATATACACTTTCCTTTATCTTACTAATATGTCTGAAAAGGTTGAAGTGCTTTTTCCTCGGTGCCAACATGTATATAAGATGAACATATACCTGACAAGCAGTACACTTCATAGCCAAGCAGATCTCACGACAAGTACCACATGTTCATGGTCCTAACCAATCAAATACAACACTGAACCATCACCTGTTTTAAAGCCACGGTTAAAGTTAGTAATGTCTGGATGTTTACGTTGTCAGTATTAGTGGTGGTCCGATTAATTGAAATAATAGAAGATTGGTCGCAAAGACTAAACGACCAAGCAATCATTTTCTCATAATCAAACACTTGTTTGCAATAATAATATATTTCACATGGTTGGTTTTGTCTGTTACATGTCATTAGCACTACAAGCTCGTTCCTTTAAGTTTCTCCAGAGGAAATTAATGTTCCTTTAAAGATGTGAAATTTGTTAATGCATTTTGTGCAATTTGCCACAAAAAAGCTGGAAGAACTACATGGTTTCTTTTTCACTATATTTTTGTGTGCATTAACAAACAACCAGGAGAATTTAATAAATGATGCTAACCAATTATTTTCGATGATTGATAGGTTGTAATGAACCAATCATCAATTCTGAGATTTTAAACGAATTCCCAACACTAGTCAGTATACACAAGAGAACACTTAATATTGTTGAAATTGTTCAGCTATAATGGATTTCTGCATAGACAACCCAGGTCATTGTGCCATGTCAGATTAACATTAGTTAATTACCCTTTAACTTACAGCCGCATCAATTTATGACTTAATGTATGTGAAAACTAAATAGAAGCAGCTGTTAAGGAAAATGTTATGACAGGACAGTATATATTCATCTATACGAAAATGCTCTCAGAAAGAAAATGTCAACAATTATTTCAGTGAGAGAGTTCAATATCTTCATCACAGAGCATGTCATTTACTAACAAGCACTGACACACAAACACGTCACAGAAACAATACTGTACCTGATCTAGTTCAGGAGCTTCTTCATATTGACATCAACGTACCTGCAACCAGAAATGTCTATTAGATGGGTGTCTGGAACCACCATGCACTTTACTGGAATATCAGCTTTATTTTTCAAATGGATGCGTGTGTATCAATATACAACTTAAAATTTACTGGTGTGCAGTAGTCCTGTAAACTGTATATTGGCAGTATCAGACCATAATGTTGTCTTCAGAAATTTCAGAGAGATTCCCAAGTTGTCATCATTTACTGCCAATAAAAGGGAGATAATGTGATGAAAGGGAGATAATGTGAAAGGGAGATAATGTGACGAAAGGGAGATAATTAACACAAGGGGAAAAGGAGATAACAAAAACTCATCAATATCTTACCTGTAGAAACAGGTTTGCCATGGGAATTCTGTCCTGGAAAAGACAAGACATACAATGTGAAGTGTAGGGCAGCCAACTGATCAAATCAATGGACATTCCTCTGCGGGTGTTTGTCATAACCATATGATTGATGTTGCTCTGTCAGATAGGAGCGAAAGACTAGGGTATATCAACATTGATTTCAGTTGAACTATGAAGTCATCACTCAGAGCAAACAGTCCATTATCACGGCATCAGTATGCACCTATGGCAACAGTGTCATGTCCAATATGAATACAGATGTTTGATTGGCATTTTAGAAGATGTTACTTGATGAACAGAGACTTTTCTGGGCTTCATGTGTTTATTGTTTGGTACAAAGTTTCTGGGCTTGTTCTGGCCCCATCATCCGGTATAACTAAAGTACAAGAACTGTTAACTCTGCCAGTGACGTCATTAGCATTGTAACGCCACTGGCGTCACTGGCAGAGTTCTACCTGATGAGGGCTTTAGAACAAGCCCTGAAACTTTGTACCAAACAAAAAGATGAAACCCAGAAAAGTCTATGTTCAATATGAATACAGCTCTAAAACATTTAGTCTACTTGTGTTAACATGGAACTTAGCACAATTTTAGAACACTTTTTGAAGTAGAGTGCAAAAGGTCTTCTCATAAAACAAATGCTACAGATTTAACGGGTTCATATCACTAACAACTCCAAGTTTTAAAACCCAGTGCATAGAATAGATACTGAATTAAAGGATGTATAGTTAAATAACCAACTACCCAAAGCAAGACAAATACTTACAATTTATCGGAGCTAAGTGCCTCATGTTATGTGGCTGCTCCCATAATCTGAAAGGAGCAAACAAAACATTTAAGAACTCGAACTGATAAAATTCAGGTAATCTTCAACATAGGTTTAACAGGTTAGTGGTCAAGAGATACCCAAATTAATCTGATGTTATTTCATGTTGATGCTTGCCTCAGAGTTGGTATTTCTCGTCACTTTGCAATCAAGAGTAGCAAATATATTCAACATCATTGGCAAGCAATATTCCAACAGTTTCAATTGGTAGAGGTATTTTACTACAGCCATGATCAACATGCCATGTTGTCTTAGTATGACACCTTCCACTTTATCAGAAGTAACCAAAAATTGACATTACTAAGCCACTAGGTGAGAACAGTAAAACGGGTTATACCTGAAACGGCCCCATGACAGAACGGCCCCAAATGCTTTGGCTGAAATGGCCCCATGACTAAACGGCCCCAAGTGAAAACGGCCCCATATGTGCCAAAATGCCCCCAAAATAATCAACGTTTTTTCAATGTGTGACCTTAGTCATAAATGATAGATCAAAACGCATAGTTTTCAATTACTTATTAAATTAATTAACTTTGACATTTTCATCATGATTTTCTTCTGTTTAAATGGCCATGAGGCCAATAATACAAGTGGAAGATAAGAATCAAACGAACTGAATAATGTACAGATCGTCTAACAATATTCACTAGAATTTAAGTTTGACAAATAAAACATTAGATTTCAGAATCAGAATTCAAATTGTTAAAAACACATCCATACCATGAAGTCACATACAGTCATTAAAACAACATTGAAGTAGCAGTTGCTCTGTGTCAAGTGAATCCTGACAGAGCTGGTGTTTTGACAAACATTAGCAATAGAACATAAATGAATATGATAAAATATAGTCTATGAACTCAAGACTATGGCAAAGTGTTCTCTGTGTCAATGATATACAGTATTTATTGATGGGGATAGATGGTTACTGTACATTCACAATGACACAACGCTGTGTGGTTTGCCATAAGACCATCCGGAAAAACCAGTGTGTGCCGCAAGGAGTGTGTTGTTAGGACGTTTTCTGTTTTTAATATATGTTACATGTTAATATAAATGCTCACATATATTTCACGTCTCTTTTTTGCAATTGTACGGGGTCATTTCAAGCAACATAGTTGATAGCAACATCGGGGCCGTTTTGCACCGAGGCCGTTTTAGCCAATTTGGGGCCGTTTTAGCCAAGCAAAATTGGGGCCGTTTTGTCATGGGGCCGTTTTAGCCTGATCCCCAGTAAAACCACTCAATCCCTGGTCCAGTTAAACCTAACCTGATCGCTTTTCAAAATTTTGACTGACTAAATATATTTCTGTTGATATAATTGTGTCCAGAAATATCTTCATTTCAACTTCTTCCTAAAGTGTAAGTCAGAACAACCTTTAGGACTGAGGCAACCTTCAAAATTGTTCAATTATGTTTCACAAATGTGGTAATGTTACTGACTGTCCCATTTCTTAGGTACTATTTGACCCTTCACTTTACAAACTAGTTGTCAAACACTGCCACAGTAGGGTAAAAGGACGACCCCAAGTTCCACTGTTCCCAGGAAACCTATTCTAAAACATGCTTCTTCCAACCCTATGGGTTTCATTTAACAAGCACACAACACTTCCAGGGTATGAAATGTATTTAAAGTGCAACACCATCTTACACAATCAGCATTTAAGTACCCTGCCGTGAATATTGCTACAAGCGACGTAAAACTCACTCACCTAGCAATTGGTATAAACTGCCTCAGGGCACGATCATCTAAAGTTGTTTTATCATGAGTTAATGTTAAGTCAACCAATTTATTTAAGATACTAAACCTAATAACCTATAGACTTGACAGGTGCTATAAAAACTGATGTGATTTATCCAACCAGTACCTATTCTCCTCACCATGGCAGTTATACAACTCAATCTTAACTAGGGTAATCTACCTCGTCCAATATTTACATGCCTGGGGCAGTTAATAAACAAAATGAAATCCTCAAGCCAATTTAGATCTGAACCTGATTTCCTCAGAAGCCATAATTACTGATCTTTAGCATGACACACTGGGTTGCTTTTGTTCAAAGGGTAAAAGTTAAACTGCCCACTCATGGGTGAAACAAACCCCAAATGAATACATTCAATGTTCCTATCAACGAAACTGACAAATTAAAAAAGTTAATTTAAAAGTTGATGATCATCCAATCTATTCACGGTTTGATTCTGCGGTTAAGAGTTCCTCCCATTCCCCCATCCAATTTCTAAATTACTTTCCTCTGAAATCTGGCTAAGTTATCTGTGCCTCAGTTTTGGTGACTGTGTCTTCATCTCTTAATAAGAAGATAAAGTATTCTTCATTGGCACTGATGACACATACAGGATTGGTAACCTATTTGAAAACCACTAAAGAAAAAATGTCCATCGACCACGTGGTTCCGCCATTGTGGTTGCCTTCTTACAAAAATATAACAAACTATTCCATAAGATAACTCGACATATGGCCACTTCTTTAAAAAGATGTATTGAAATCACCTTTTGCAAGAGTCTATGCGCTAACAATCACTCAAACAAAACGCATTACGATTCTTACATGACATGCTCGCTTTCCCTGTGCACATCTTCTCGCTTCTTCGTCTCACTGCCGCAATGACGAGTTTGTGACACCGCATGGCAAATGCGCGCCACATGCGCATTGGAGTCCTCTTTAAGATATTAACTGGATCCCGTTTAGTGATACGTTTGCATTATGAACCGAAACCGGTTTCTTATAAAGTGTCATTTGGCGAAATATGCCGAAGTATACAATTTATAAATACTAAACAAAATATCTATCGTATCTCGCAATTCGTCTAAGTGTACGTGTATTAATGATGAAATACACACACAAGTATTGCGTGTAATTCGTCAGTATCATTCATTCGATGGTCGATTGTTTTCGTGTGTGTACGTGTCTTTTCGAGAAATTGACAAGGTACCCTTTAGCTCAACCAATCAACGCATTCCAGCTGCCGGGTACTAAACCAATGAAATTGCGATTCGCATCACTATTGACCAATCACATTTCGACACGACCAGTTCCGCTATCATAGAAAGGCAACACGCTGTATTTAGCACTCAGTGTAAGGTCAGATCAGAAATTTTCACCAGAAGGAAGACACGCGAACATCAACGTAAGATAGTTTGAAGGCAAATCGTGGTGTTTATTTGAACACACATATTCAAGATCGTCTGTACATCGTACACAAGCAAGGTAAGTGTATTCCTGTCATTATTTTCCTGTCGTCTGATTCTCATTTTATGCCGGTAGAAACGTGGTCTTAGTGGACTTACAATATGCCACATGTATTCGCCGGTATCGGTTTGCCAGGATATTGAGTATATTGTTCATCGCGAAATTTAACATCGTTTTCACTTTAGGAATATAAGATCAATCTCACGAATAATAATGTTTAGTCAGTAGATGTCGAGACAGTTTCAATTTCAACTGGGAGACACGCCCATTTGACACGTCTGTCATTTTCGGGCACTTCTGACATGTCACATACAATTCAGGTGAAATTTCTACACGAGTTCCATCAGTTAAACACCAACACAATATTACTAAGACTGTTATGTAACAAATTTTGTATGATTTGAATTTTGTTTGTTAGATTTGACTTAGATCACCATGTTACATGATATGCAGGAACTGGGACTAGGGTGTGACCCGAAGTATTTGAAATGTAACGATTTCAGAGTAGTTTTCTATATTTGCCTAAATCATTGTTTTACTTTGATATTCATCTTTACAATCAAGCATATGTTGATTCAACTACTGACAGACAATTGTTTTGTTCCAGAGATGAAGTCATTGCTCACCTTGTGCCTACTGGCACTGTTCCTGAGTGTCATGTGGTCCGTGCGAGCTGAAGAAGAGGAGGATGAGGATGCCGACAAGAAGAAAGAGAAGGATGGTGTTGGCACTGTCATCGGTATTGATCTGGGGACAACATACTCATGGTAAGTAGTGCCATAAGACTTCATAAAAACCTAAACCAAAGAGCAACTTAATTAAACTTTACATGTTGAACATGGACTAGGCATACTGACATACTCAGGGAATCTTTATCATTGATCGAAGTACCTGCATTTTTTATCAGTTTGATTTCTCAGATCATTAACATGAACAAGACTGGCTTTCACAAATGTTTCAAGTAACAATGCAGTTTATCTGGTGTGCACATCGATTATAGCTAGTTTGCTCATCAGAATAACCTTATTTTTCAGTGTTGGGGTGTTTAAGAATGGACGTGTGGAAATCATTGCCAATGACCAAGGTAACAGAATCACACCATCCTATGTGGCCTTTACCCCAGATGGCGAGCGTCTCATCGGTGATGCAGCCAAGAATCAGCTGACCACTAACCCTGAGAACACAGTCTTTGACGTAAAGCGTCTGATTGGACGTTCCTTCAATGACCCGTCAGTTCAGTCAGATATGAAGCATTTCCCATTCACTGTTATCAACCAGAAAGACAAGCCTGTTGTTCAGGTGAAGGTTGGTACCGATACCAAAGCAGTTTACTCCAGAGGAAATCTCAGCTATGATACTTGGCAAGATGAAGGAGATTGCCGAGGCCTACCTTGGCAAGAAGGTTAACAATGCAGTTGTTACTGTCCCTGCCTATTTCAACGATGCCCAGAGGCAAGCTACCAAGGATGCCGGAACCATTGCTGGACTCAACGTTATGAGAATCATCAACGAGCCGTAAGTGTTGTATCTTGTTAATTGAGAAGTAGTAATAAGTGTACACAACTAAATATAGTACTGGATGGTTGTTTGATGAATATTGCATGCATCTTTATTTTTATAATTTCTTTTTTCAAATGTTAGTCAGGATTTTATTGTATTCATTCCTGTTTCAGAACTGCAGCTGCTATTGCCTATGGTCTTGACAAGAGGGAAGGAGAGAAGAATATTCTTGTGTTCGATCTCGGTGGTGGAACTTTCGATGTGTCCCTCCTTACAATCGACAATGGCGTTTTTGAAGTCGTTGCCACAAATGGAGACACCCATCTTGGTAAGTCATCAAGTGAATCGCACAAGGGACATAATCAGTAACTGTATTGTGTGAACTGGCTGCATGACATCATTTTTTATACTCAAGAGGCAAGGAAAATAATTTTTGTCCAATCAACTGATAAACTCTTACACCAATGAATTCAGTAGACTTTCAAAATGACATAAGTTTTCATTTGTGTTCAGGCGGTGAGGATTTCGATCAGAGAGTCATGGACCACTTCATCAAACTGTACAAGAAGAAGAAGGGCAAGGATCTTAGGAAGGACAACCGTGCTGTCCAGAAATTGCGTCGTGAAGTAGAGAAGGCCAAGAGAGGTCTGTCCTCCCAGCACCAGGCCCGTGTCGAGATTGAATCTCTCTTTGAGGGTGAAGACTTCTCCGAGACACTCACCAGAGCCAAGTTTGAAGAACTGAACATGGTGAGTAGATGTTATCAGTGATAATGATTCCATGTTTACGCTCATGTCATGTAGATAACTTTTAGTGACCCATGTTTATACTACTTCATCCTTATGGTCTGATACAGACTTAGTTTAAACTGTATTTATTTATCTCTACAGGACCTGTTCCGTTCCACCATGAAACCAGTGCAGAGAGTTATGGAGGATTCTGACCTGAAGAAAACTGAGGTTGATGAAATTGTTCTGGTCGGTGGTTCCACCCGTATCCCCAAGGTTCAGCAGCTGGTCAAAGAATCTTTCAGTGGCAAGGTGAGTCCTGTGAAACTCTTAGTCGTGATCACTGGCATCATATATTGATTCACACTATCCTTTGACTTACCTGGGGGAATTCAGGAATGTCATGTCTATAGTACAGAAGTACAAACTAAAATGAGTTGGGACTGGTGATCCTTATAATTTTGATATATGAATCTTCAGTTGTCAGTGGGTATGCAATGAAAAGTTATTATTCCTTGTGTAGTCGATAGAGGTATTTTTTAAAATCCTTCTCTGGACCAGTGGTTACTGGCACTTTCTTTTCCTCATCTAGTAAAGTGTATGTCTCTAATGCTTGTTCCATTGCTATTGCAGGAGCCCAACCGTGGTATCAACCCTGACGAAGCTGTTGCATACGGTGCTGCTGTCCAGGCTGGTGTATTGAGTGGAGAAGAAGACACTGGTGACCTCGTCTTGCTCGATGTCAACCCTCTCACTATGGGTATCGAGACTGTCGGAGGTGTCATGACCAAACTTATTCCCAGGAACACTGTCATCCCCACCAAGAAGTCCCAGATCTTCTCCACAGCTTCTGATAACCAGCCCACAGTCACCATCCAGGTGTTCGAGGGTGAACGTCCAATGACCAAAGACAACCACCTTCTCGGAAAGTTTGATCTTACAGGCATCCCCCAGCACCTCGTGGTGTTCCCCAAATTGAAGTCACTTTTGAGATCGACGTTAACGGTATCCTTAAAGTAACAGCAGAGGACAAGGGCACAGGCAGCAAAGAGGCCATTGTTATTCAGAACGACAACAACCGCCTGTCGCCTGAAGATATCGAGCGTATGATCAACGATGCTGAGAAATATGCTGATGATGACAAAAGGTGAAGGAAAAGGTCGAGGCAAAGAACGAGCTGGAGAGTTATGCATATTCATTGAAAAACCAACTCAGTGATAAGGAAAAGTTGGGAGGAAAACTTAGCTCTGAAGACAAGGACACAATCACAGAAGCTGTTGATGAAAAAATTAAGTGGCTGGAAAGCAACCCTGATGCTGATGTGGAAGAGTTGCAGGCCAAAAAGAAGGAGCTTGAAGAAGTTGTACAGCCAATCATGAGCAAACTTTACGAAGGAGCAGGAGGCGCGGGCGGAGCAGGAGGACCTCCACCAACAGGGGAAGAAGGAGACCACGACGAGTTGTGAGAGCGGAGAGGTGTAGGGCTTGTTTATAAATATTGTCATGTAAACACTCATCTCATGGACTGACATTTCATTATGGAGCATGAAGCATCATGTTACTTTCAACAGTGGAGAAACACCTTGTTCAATTAATATGTGGAATTATTTATTTAGCTTCACTTGGATTTCTGACAGTAATCGAGTTAACAATGAAAACTGCAAATGTGATCAAGACGAACATTGAAACATGATGATTTGCAGGTTTTGACGTGATACAAACTTATTCCACCTGCAGGGAACAGTCCTCATGAATCTCAACCATGGGGTTGAAAAACTATTTGTTTTATGTTTTGGGAATTATTATAGGGAGTAGAATATTTTTGTTATTGCAGATGTCTGCACAAGTCTATTTATTTTGTAAGGTAAATGACATCATTCAGATTAATTATCAAAGAATTGGAGGCTGAGAAATTGGTTTTCTGTATTTTGGCATTTTCGTTTGATCTGATTGATGTCGTGACTATTCATGGCTAGTGTATGTGAATTCATCACCCTTGTGTACACAGTCATCACGTGGTGTGTGTATATATGTATACATCTCATTATCATCAGAATGAAAGCTGGAGTGCATTGTGGCTGTATGATGAATGAAAGTGTAAAAATGTTGAAAGAAATAAAATTTATTTGTTACATATTGGTTGTGTTGTGTGTTAAAGGAGTCTTGTGTTAGCTTGAGTCTTGAGGCTAGCATTGGTCAGTTTGCAATTTCAGTAGGTTTGCAGTAGGTGTTTGGGTCCCTTTCCTTCGAAAATACCCATTTGAAAAAGTGTACCCAGAGTAATTCTTAAAAAAACCCTCATTTGTTCATGTTTTCAAAGGGACATACCCCCCAGACCTGTATCTTATAATACTATCATATCTTTCTCTCTAAGCATAATTTGATAAGATGGAGTCCTTGTTTCAACAGGTATCACTAGCTCATCACACATCTATTCAATTTCTTTATTCTTTAGGGGATTCTCATGGAAATGAATAAGGGAACACATGAATGTACAAGTGTACCTTTATTTATGTACAGAATTTCACCCACAGTGCAATACATACCTTGTGAAAAAACCTGGAAAAAGATAAAGTTATATTTTCATGTGTTCCCTTATTCGTTTCCATGAGTATATACCGGATATGTGTGCATCTCCCCTTGGCAAGGGAGGTAACTTACTAAACAATTCAGTTACAACCTTGCCAGGGGAATTTGAGAATTTTGTGTGAGTTTTACACCACTTTTAGCAATATTTCAGCAATAGGGGTTGGGTGTGTGTTTATATGTGAGGATTTGGGAACATTTTGACAGAAATAAAAGTTTGACAAAGTTCACTATTTGTTACGAGGGAGGACTGCAAAGAGAGGAACAGCCAGGTGTATGTGGAGCAGGTGCACAAGTTCTGACAAAGTTATTGAATCATTTACCTGTGCGGTCTCCATTTTTTCTCGCACACCTGGCTGTTCCTCTTTGCACCCCTCCTTCGGAACAAATAGTGTCAAACTGTGTCAAAATTTTAATGATAGTTTGTTAAACAACTTTTTTTCACTTTAAGGACATAAATTCTGCAATAAAATCTCAAAGTTGGTCTGATTTTATTATGATCAGTGTTTCATTGAGTATTATATGTTTAGTAGTTTTCAAGTTAGGCAGTCTAACGGAGTATAGTCATGTGTATGTACACCAGTGTTTGGAAATCAAGAGTGAATGTAAAGTGCATCCTCATCATGGCCCCAATCCTCAGCATGTAAAGATTTAGGGATCCTTAGATGATGAGGGGCTCCTCATTGATGAGGAGAGCAGAGTTCAATGACCTGGCATAAGTTTGAAAACAGCTAAACAGTGTTCACGAATCGTGTTTCAAAGTACAGTGTAACAGGACATTGGGTCCTGTATGTTTCAGATGTCTGTCTGACCCATTGAAAATTCACAGGACCCATAGAATATACTTAAACACACATTTCAGATTTAGCATTTCTTATAATTGGCATTGAAATTATTAACAAACATAAGATTTATAAACAGCAAACAAGTGTCACATGTCATATATAACAATGTCATTGTGAAATACACAGTCAGACACTGAGGCCAGCGGGTTGTAGACTTCTATAGGACTTGGCGAATCTGTTGGATTTGTCAGAGGGTCAGACGCTATTCATGAACAGTGGCTAAAGTTTGGTGGATGATCAAACAGTAGGATTACCACTGTTCCACTGTTATAATGAACTAATGGATATATGATATAATGAACTACAGTTACGTACTAAAATTAATGGTCATTTCGAGTTTACTGTAACCACAGTATAATGTGTTGTGTCAAGTACCTGTTTTGCACAGACAAGCAATTAACTTGCTTCAATCAGACTTTTATCTGAAAAATATTTCAAGCAAAATATGAAGCTTCAATATTGGCAGGAGTTAATCTCATCAAGACATCTCCAGGAAAACAGTTAATTAGCAAAAAAGGAGGTGAGTCGGGATTTTATGGCACGTACAAGATTATTTCACTTACATGGCGACATAATGTTTGCCGTTCGTACAAGTCAGTCTATACTTGTGTTATAGAGTTAACTGGCTGAGATACCAGCTTAACATGGATACCTCACACAGACACAATACACCGACTCGCCATTGAACAGATCTCGCTTAATGCAATTCTTGACAAGCGCTGGTCAGGATTACAACATGTGCAGTCTTTTATGTCTTTTGGTACGATGCAGGTGAAGATCAAACCTCAGCTCTCTCCAGACAAAGAAGAAGAAGCAAGGTATACAATATATCACAGGTGTTTATTTACAGTTAAATGTATACAGCATCAATATGAAGTATAAACAGCATGATATGAGTTGTATATATGCAAGTGCAACATGCTAACTGCATGGTGTGTAATAGCAGTGTAACACACATCACAAACACAGGTGACTCGCTAGTCTCCTGCATCAGACAAAAGGACTGGCTAGAATGCAGCCAATCAGATTAAAGGACTGGCTAGAATGCAGCCAATCAGATTAAAGGACTGGCTAGAATGCAGCCAATCAGATTAAAGGACTGGCTAGAATGCAGCCAATCAGATTAAATATGTTCAAGCTAAAACTTTGATTGGTTGAGTGTGTCTTTAAAACAGTCACCACCTGAGTGTCACAGCATGCATCCATTATATAAATATCAAACACTATTGACAAAACAACTTTAAATAAATTCACAGGAAGAATCCTGCTTGTGGTTGGAATTTTTTCTATATAATCTCAAAAAGTGGATAATTTGATTACCTTAATCTAAGAGGTTATTATATTTCAAAGTTTTCTCAAGTAAATTTTTCTAAAATCCATTTATGTCTTTGAAAATTTCAGATCGGATGAAAGCCATGCGTCTCTTGTATATACTCACGCAGAACTGAAGTCGCACTCACTGAGGTAGAGAATTATTGAGACAATCAACAATCAACTTAAACTATTTGCCAGCAAAACTAAGAATCCAATATGAACTATTTATAATACAGTGTGTACATTCTAAAAAAGCTAGTATCTCCTCTTCAGTTAAAGCCTGAAAACAAATGTCTTCAAATATCGTATCGTTTCTCAACAACCATCACATTTCAATGGCATTCTTTTAATCAATGAAGTGCATCACTCTGGCAGTGCTCAATAAATGTTCTATCAACCTGTTGATCATCCTCGATAATCTCCAGGGCATACATTACGATCACTCTCCACTATACTCTGGATGCATCCACGGCTTGGTCCGATAATTATATTACCTCCCTTTGCTGGCTCCGCATTCTCACAGTAGCCAATCAGCTAAGCCGCTGTCAACAAAGATAGCGGTCACAGTCGCGAAGGTTTGTTCGCAGTACCACTCAGATTTTTGGAGAAATAATACAGACAAATTGACAGATCTGAAACTTTCAAAAAAATATATAAAAGAACTCCTTTCACATCTTTCGCCAAGTTTAAACGGTTAGATAATTTAAGAAGCGAAAGTGAGTTGTGATTGGTTCGCTCAACTTCCCAGCGCAAACCTGATTGGATAAAAAGCCAGCCAAGGGAGGTAATAAAATCATCAGACCAAGCCGTGGATGCATCCAGGGTATAGTGGAGAGTGATCGTAACGTATACCCTGGAGATTATCGAGGATGCCTGTTGATATACTAGTATGCAGTCAAATGCAATCATACTCGCATACAATGTAATAGCCAATTGGGTAGTCAACACATTATCCTAGTATAACTATACAGTTCATTTGTATTCAGTACTGCTACAAACATTCCACTTGTTATACCAGTGTATAAGGAGATTATTACATGAGCAGGTGTGTCATACTGATTTTACAAACCAGTGTTTGAATTCTTGAGAGCTAGGGTAATATATGAACTCTTACACAAGTTTTGTAAAATCAGTGCGGCACAAAACCGAACATAATGATTTCACTATTACTTCATCTTTTTGAGCAACTTCTTCAGGAAAATGCGCTGATCACGAACGTCATCCCCAAATACACATCTGTTGTATGATGTCACCAATTTTCAGTTATTACATTTCTAGTGTTGTGTTCTTTCTAAGTCCTTTGGTTAAGGTGCATTAGACCTCACGTCTTAATAAGGTTAATAAGGTGTGAATGCCGCCTTCATGACGTAGGCAATACACCACTGCTTGTGAGGTGATACTAGCACTAGTGCACATATGATATTACGATCTCAGTTCCTTCTAACCCAGTCGACAATAAAGTTAAACATACAGTTGGGACTTCCCGGACAAGTTTGTTCTAGGGGTAACAGTACTTTTGTTAAGCTAATTTGACATGATCAAACCAGATCCAGTTCCACTATCAAAGTCTATCAAGATACTATTTGCGTGACAACACTTCCAAACATTTGGTCTCATTTAGCCTGACACTAAGAATATCCTAATTTAACATCGAGTAGTACATATTAGACATGCATGCAGCACTGGCAATGAAAGCCTGACAGGGGCATATTCTAAAGTTTTCAATATGGTTTTACACAGACACCAAGTCAACACCGACAACACTATAGATTATATGACTGAGTTTGGTTTTACGCCGCTTTTAGCAATATTCCAGCAATATCACGGCGGGGGACACCAGAAATGGGCTTCACTCATTGTACCCATGTGGGGATTCGAACCCGGGTCTTCGGTGTGATGAGCCTACGCTTTAACCACTAGACTACCCCACCGCCCCCCATAGATTATATGAGCTACAGCATAAAACACATTACACTTACACACACCTTTCACAAAAATATTGTCAACACTATCACCAACAGCCAACATCACTGATTCAGTTGACAACTACAAATGGTCAGTTGACAACAGCAGAGGGTAAGTTAACAACAATGGGTCAGCTTACCACATCTCACATTCTGTTGACAATATCACCAGGTCAACTGACGTCATCCACTGCAGTTAACAGCATCTCCGTGCTAAGTATTATGCATTTTCTACTGATGTACACAATATACAATGTATGTCCTTAATGATATACATATCGACAAACATAATTTTAGTCAACAGACATGGAATAGTCTAACATACACTTGGCCCCACAAAATACAACATGGCTTCTCAGCACCTGAACCCCAGGAGCACAATATAATGGAACACATTTGTCACATTTCTAAAACTGCTACTAA